TTTGAATGTAAATAATTTGTCTCAAATATATTTTAATATAATAATATTGTGCATACATTTTTATTACAATATTATGAAGATTTTAACTAACTAACTTTTAATCTAATTACGATCAAGTACGACAAATTATGCACTAAGATATCCTATGCAAAGCTTTATAAATGCAATAAACTCATGCATATCTTACTCTTGTCCAACAACAACAACGACAATAAGATTTGAATTGATGATACTAATATCAAACAAAAATAGACGATTGATGGGGCCAAAACAGCAAGCCTTATAGAACAAGGAACCACAATTGAAATAAATTTAGCACAATTGACTGCATTTATATTGATATAAGTTGTTTGGTTGTGTTCCAATGCAGCATTTCAAACATGGCTTGCAAGTATGCGAGGTTGGGCACATCCGTCTCGCGCATTCCCTTGTCGTGTGGCGAGCAGGGCGTGGAGCTGTGCATTGAGCTTGGCCATGGTGGGTGGATATCGGAGCAGCTCAGACATGGCCCATTCCATGATGATGGCTTGGAAGTTACTGCACGCGGGAAGAGGTGCAGCTGGTGTTTCGGGCGCTGAACTCTACGCGCATCACAATTTCCGGACGCAAAATCAATTTGGTGGTTCGTACAAGGACTTCGTTAAAGTCGAATCCAGAAGGTACGCGAGTGCGCGCATGAATATAGTAGTGGACCGTGTTCTAGATGCATTGCCGGTCCCGCCCCCCATACCAGCTCCTATCGTGAACGGAGCAGAGGGTCTTACTGAGATTCTCTCAAATTATGGGGTAGAAGAGGACTCCCAGCCCCCAAAACCAGCTCCGATCGTGAACGGAGCAGACGGTCTCACTGAGATTTTCTCAAATTATGGAGTAGAAGAGGACTCTCAGCCCCCCATGCCAGCTCCGATCGTAAACGGACCAGACGGTCTCACTGAGATTCTCTTCAATTGTGGAGTAGAAGAGGACTCCCAGCTCGCTACATCATCTTCACTCTACTTGGACGGCCTCGACCATCTTGAGATTTACATCGGAAATGAACCAGAAGGGGCCTCTGATTTCCCGCCATATCAACTCCGATCATGTACATGAAATCATTAAGTGGCTACCGATTTCCGTCCGGCACATATTCCATCAACACATCCCAAGTGAGAACTCATTCGGAAACTCTACGTGACCTGCCTTCCAAACAGAAAACTTTTCTGTTTTACGCTATTCCAAGATCTCTGAACTAATCAGAGATTAGAAATTTTTATCAAAGGATACTGGGTCTTATTGTTTTCTAGAACTGGCGACATTGCCCGTCTTTGGATTTTGCGGGAGGAAAGGTAGTTTTAGAATGGTACATTAAGGTTGTTTGAATTGTTTGCCTAGCTGTAAGATTATCTGGCTTGACAGCTCTTTTCGTGAACTATTATCAAACATTGTGTGACTAGTAGCAACAACTGATGATAGTGTGTAACGAAGCCACCCAAGATTCTGACTGTTTCTGGACATTAGAAGCTCCGAACTGATTGTAATGGCTGGATGTATTTCTGGAAACACAGCATGAGATTTCCTGGTTTACATTATTCAAGAAATGTAACCTATCGTCTTCATGACAACTATGAGCATTTGGGGCGATGTCCTAACAAAGAGGACTTCAATTGACTGTTGATTGTAAAACCAGGTCAAGTCCTCAGCCGATAATTCCAATTTATCAATCTCGTTGGCCTCCAGCACAAGATGGGCTAGTATAACCAGTCTGCAATGCCGAACAGCGGATCATCAAGCAGTTCTAACAAGGACAACCCACGGCACCCTCACAGGGCATTGTCTATCATAGAAATCATGCACAAATTATTAGCGAAACGCCTCAGTCAGCCAGTTCTCAACATGGAACTTTTCAGGTCCTCAGCCGGTAATTCCAAAATATCACCCTCATTGGCCACCATAACAAAACAGACTAACACAACTACGTCAAAGATCCTGACCTGCGAATGATGAAGTAGTTCTGACCTTCAAAACCGTTACACATCATTCTCCCCAGGCATTGTTCATCATGAACAATGTAGACAAATAAAACAGCCAAGGAAACGTCATCACCTGCCTCTCAGGATTAATAATCCCTTCATTGTAGAACCCTAATCCTACAAGTGACCAGTCCAAGATTTTCGGAACCCTAAACTCTTAACCACACAGAATACGAGGCCAAGGACTCAACAGCGACACTTATTGAGGGAAACGAGACGGCTAACGATCCTTATTTGTAACAAGCGCGTCACAACCAGGCGGATGGTGTAATGGGATAAAACGGTAGTGAAGATGACTTTTATAGGAGTACTATAGGACCTCTCAACTCCTCAATCCTAATCCTGGCTAAATAATTAGAGGATTAGGGTTAGGATTTGAGGGTGTCCAGGATACCAACAAGTGTTGCATAAACTTACTTCGCCACGTGGAAGACACGTCATCAAATGGGCATTATTACAGCAGAATGGTCGATCTGAATTATTAATGCAATTGTTGCTTGGGACAATTGGTCTCATTAGAGGCCTGACTGTGGAAACAAGTAGAAAATGTTCGGGAACAAACAACAATTGTTGATGAGCATAAAGTTCACGTTTGTATTCTCATGCGCAAGATAAAATTCATGGAGAATACCTTTTTTATTTTTGAATGTTATTATGCATCAAATGAGATTTTGTATTGCTATTACATAGTAGAATGGTGTTGAAGATTATTTTAACCCCGATATAAAAGAAGATTGTTAAAACTTGAAGATTTAGTGTGGCTGTAGCCTACTTTTGCAATTGTCCATAAGAGATAGATTAAAAATTGGTCTTTTGTTTTATGAATGCCAGTCTGCAACATTCACACATGCATACATACAAAAGTATATATATATATATATATATATATAGATAGATAGATAGATAGATATACTTTATTAGCATTTTAAGAAATTGTTTTTAATTTAGTAAACTATACACATATTTGTGGTCAACAATTTTAAAAATTCAAATATCAAGCTCATCACTATACACAATTTTATGCTTATAAAATAGTAATTAATTATGTAGATTTTTTGTATAATAATTTTAAACATTAAATGTCATTTTGTCTAATATTATGGTTGATTGAAAATAATTGAACTTTGGTTTCAAATAAAGATCATTTGTACAAATTAATATTATTTTTACAAACATAATAAAAATAAAAATAAAAATAATCTACAGAAATTTTATCAAAAATCAGTATACCATCCAATTAGTTTTTTATAGGCATAATTAATTACACTATTGTTGCATCACTTGAATTTATTTGATTATTGTTAATATTATTTTGAATATTTTGAAGAGTAAAAACTTAAGTATTTTAATAAGTTAAAAATATGATTGAATCTTTTATTATAAAACTTCAAAACTGAAACTAAAACTTTTAACCAACTACAAATACTAAAAGATAAAATGGTGACCAAATTTTACCAATCTATAATGAAGTATATGGATACTTACAACTAGATTGGTTCTTTGGGCATTTTTATTTGATAAATTCTATATAAAACTATTTTAAATTATTTTATTGAAAGATCTAGCCCTAAATAAAATATCTTTAAATTCAAAATCTAAATAAATCTTTTCTTGACTAGTATTTACCATTAAGACAAATTTGGATCCAAAGAAAATATTATCAAGTCATCAAACTTGATTAATTCAACATGCGTAATAGCTTCTTTAATAGTAATAGTTGTATTAAAATATTCTATCAAGTTCTAAGATTAATTACCAAACATCTTTGCATTAAAACATGTTATTTAGAATTTGAGTTATTGATATATCCAGTGAGAGTTGATCTCTTGAATTGTTCTACTTACAAATTGGTCTGCTAAAAGATTTTGTTATTGATTTATCCCAATTGTTGAGAAACAATAATTATCTCTTACATTACACAATTATATATAGATGAATTATAAAAGATCCAAGATTTTTTTATCCAACCTCCCTCCACAAAAGTGTCTAAGAAATATACTTTCAAATTTATTTAAAATCTTCTATAGGACATTGCACTTTTTGAAGAAATCAATTTTGATCCTACTTTCATGGCTTCATAGCCAAAATGAGAATACACAAAAATTACAAATCTCTTTCTTAATTGATAATCGTTATTATTTATTCTCCCAAACGTTTTTTTTATAAAAAAACACAAAAAAATAAATAAATAACATCACAACTTTTAGCTTTGGTTCAATGCCACAAAAGCATTGAGGGAATGCACCTAACTAAAACACCCCCACCTTCCTCATTCCCAAAACCAAGTTATCTCACCTATTAAATGCAAGTCACAAAACTACGTTACCTCACCTATTAAATTATCTCACCTATTAAGTGCAAGTCCCCAAACGAAGTCCATGAGATGCCTACGATTTCAAAAATTAATTAACTCTGACCTTCCTTCTCTGTTCAAACCAATCAAAAACTGGACCACCCTTTAGGTCCAACAAAGTAATTAAAAGAAATCAAAATATTATCTTTCCGCATGAAGATACTCATCATCATACCTTATGTCAAAATTATGATAGCTTAAAATCCAAAAATAAATAGATAAAACAGTTCTCTGTAGTTTAGGAAGAACCGGGTACAGGAACTAACTTTTCTATGACACAACAGACCTCTGTGTACGTTGGAACCCAACCTCCCAGTTTTAGACCTGGTCATTTATCTCTCTAGCGACCAATTGTAATTTCAAAACTGCAACACAGATCAGAAAGTGATGGCTTGTACCTCCTTATTAATAACAAAGAGACTACGCCTTTCTGTTTCAACGTAGATAAATAAATAAATAGAATGCAATTGCCAGCATTCACTTATCTTAGGACACTCGACTTGCAGCATATCCTCGAAATAAATTCTTTAGATGGATATCACTTACCGCAACCATATTTGTACATCTCAATGGGGAACATCGAAGAAGAAATCTTTCAAAAAATCTGTCGAAGGTGCAGAGAAACCGACACAAACCCATAAACATAACAAGTGCAACATCATGCACCGGACACTCTCATTCAAATGTCATAATATCGGTCATTTCAGATTCTAAAATACATTGCTTGTCACCTTGAGTAACCATGGCCGCTGCCCCATGGGCTCTTACAAAGGCTAACAATCTGCTCCAAAACTTGTATCGATGTAGGACGGATGTCACAGGATAAGTGAGCAAAATATGATTAAGCCTTCCGCTGGCGCTTTTGTTCTGCTGGTTCAGGTTCTCATTCCGTGGTGATGGGATGCGCAACGGCAGATACTCAGGGATATCTGTGATAAGTACTGATCGGACCCTCGCGGAGGTTTTACCCGTTATTGTAGTCCACCTTCTCGGAATAATACAAGGATGTCCATCACCATGTTGATTATACAAAGCTATATGTATCTTCTTCTCAATAAGGATACACGATGGATGAATTAATAGGATGCATTTTCGTACTGAGGACCAAGGAGATCTCGTAAAGTGATTCCCCTGAACACAGGATGATTCCGTGTATTCGGCCGCTTTTCTCCATTCTTCACATCCCGAATCGTCTCCTGCGTGCCAGGATTGTCTTTGGCATCAACTGCAGCTTCTTCACTCTCGCTTGCAGTCTCCCACTCAGATTCTCCATCTCCATCGTCCGCCTCTTCGGTCTCTAACTCCTCCGTGTCCACACTCCCACTCTCATCATATTGGATTTCCCCATGCTTCAGAGCAGCATCTTTGAATAGCCACGATGCTTGCATTTGCTTCTTCACAAGACGCTCCACATAATCAGGCACTTTGTTACCTGACTTAAAGTCGGATTCACTTCCAGGTTGCTGCGAGCACTCATTTATGAACATAATTGCATCTAGAAGGCTTTCCTTGTGAAGTGACAGGAGCTCGTAAGCCTACATGTATAGAAAGAGAGAACCAGCGTTAAAAGCATCACGATACATTGACTGGTGTATACATCCATGTGTGTGTGGAATTAGAGACTACAAACTCAAAATCGCTGGCTCTAATCAATGCATAAGCATAAGATTTTTAAGCAATGTAGTGGATGACCCTGTAGCGATAAATATCGATGGAAAGGTCCTATCTGAAAGAATATTCTTATTAAGTCACAGTTGAGGCTCCAGACGCCAGCTAGACGCCAGAGGTAGTAGCAATTAACAAGTCTAAAAGTGTCAGTTAAGATGCATACAACATCAATAGTACGAAATAAAACAAAGTACGTGACCTAATAAAGTGGCAATCTAGGTAATAACATGTCCTTCAGGATACAAAGGGCCCTTATTTATTAATCTCAAAATTTTAAGACAAAGATCATTCTCTTCTTAATTATACTCATCACGACCTGGAAAAAACAATTTATTTATATGAGCTTCCGTGTTAGTATCAAGGAACACATGTCATCACCGAAAGGGAAGTGATAGATAGTCAATGGAAATTTACCTGCGCTCTTCTCCATAAACTCTTGCTGTGACGGTTCACTGGATTATGAATAGATAAAGCTCGAGTGGTGTCACTTATAGCTCCTTCAGCGTTGTGAAGTAGTAAGTGACATTGAGCACGATTACTATGCAACACAACCCTTTCCTTCTTAGCTCTCACGGGACACAGTGACAGCGCCTCGGTGTACTTAGCAGCAGCACCACTAATGTCTCCAGCTGAAAACCTAGAATTACCTTCTAACTTAACAACAAGAGCTGCGGCTTGTTTTATTTGCAAATCCTCCTTGGGAACGGTTCTTTCCCACTTCGTCTTTTTCCTTAGAGCTGCAAAGTCATCCAGCAAATGCCTTGTCGAGGTGGAAATATGTGCTATTACCGCCGATGAGGGATGGGGAATGTAGTCTTCCAATAGTACATTGGTTAAGACCTCCCCCAAACGTTTGTGTTCTCCAAGACTAGGTAACTCAGCTAGGTCTACCAGAGCAACTGCGGCCTTATCTAACACCTATGATACAAGTGTGCAAAATAAGTAAATAGAGTCAATATCAGGTATTTCGTTGCATGACTTTCAAAAGAAACTAAGAAAAGCTCTTGACCAGACCAGCTAGCAGGCACTGGTGTCATACTTAAAGTCAGGGAAGAAAACAAGCAAACAAGCAACAAGCAACAGAAAAAGAATAAAAATTAAATAAAGTAAAGAAAAACGCATTCACACTGCAGTAATTCCGGTTATTCAGTACAATGAAAGCTCCTCTTCCGAACATGGAAAATAGGGTCGATCAGGTGCAAGTTTCTCAACATGTTATCTGAAGGAGTACATCATCGTAGAGATGATTAGATACTGACCTTAAGCCGGGTATTCGGATCCTGGAGCAGCCACACTAAGCAATCTACTGCCATGTACTGCCAATCGTCCGATGACCTTGCAATGTTACAAAGGGCCTCAATTATGCCTGGATTCTCAGCTACAGGAATCCTTCCGAATCTCTGATGACAGATAGTGCGCAACACACCAACACCTGCAGGCGAGTTTTCATTGACAAGGCCTCCCCACATAGATGGTAACTGTCCCAGAAAATCTGGCTGGCAAATTGTTGGTAGAAACTCTTCCTTGAAAGCATAACAGTTTATGAGTTGTAGTGACCAACACTGCAACTGGCTAGCCCATTCCTCTGCCTTCCGAGACTCCATTTCTAATCCACCCATTCCTCGTGTAAGAAGGTCACAATGGTAGCTCAAGCGCTTGTCCACAAACTGCAAAAAATGCGTGTAGACAATCTCAAGAGCATCAATTGCCAGCTGAATGGAGAGCTCCAAGATATCTGTATGCGCAGCGACAGCAGGAAAAGTGCTATCGTAGGTAGCTAAATGGCCAAGCGCCCGGACCGCTACTCGCTGCTCAACCCAAGTCAGCCGGTCCCTCAGAAGCTCCACCAGCGCAGGGATCACGCCTAACAGCATCAAGCACCTCGTCAACTGGTGTACTCGAGACTTGAAAATTTCGACGGTGAGGATCACAAGATGATGGCACAAGGAAATTTTTACCAAAAATTTAAGAAACTTAAATGGAAGATCTACGTCTTAATAGCTCAATCTCTGTTTCACCGACTCGCACCTTAGTGACCTGTCAATATCTAAAGCTAAGGATTTTCAGCCTCTAGAAAACAAATCCTGCATCATAAAGATAACTGGTAGCAAATGGATGCTTAAGAAATCCAACACTGACACTTAAAACATACCTGCTCGAACAGCTTGCTCTGCAAATTCCTCAACGTTCATGGTGTAAGAGCCTATGATATGCGCAGCATAATAAGGAATGTAGATGTTCTGGTCCTGGGCTAACCAATTTCGATCTTCTATTCCTTTCCAGATGAGCCGAGCCATACACTCAAAAATTCCTAGTTCAATGAACTCTGGATCGTTAGGATGCGCCATGGCAGTATTCCAAAGCCCACTAATAGCAAGAACCTGCAAGGTGGCCAAACGAATGCAACAATATCATTGATCCTCTGAACACTGTAGCACTCATGCTTGACAATCTCAATTGGCACACTAACAGCACGATTAATTATAATGCAGAACACTGCACGCAGATTCTAAAGGTTCATTCCAAGAACTCTACGAAACGGAAATCCTCCAATAGACTAGCGAACGGAAGGGGAGCTCATGCACACAAAGCGATGCATAGAGAGAAAGGAATCTTCGAATAATGCAACTTCTTGCACCACAAACCAAACTATGGGCTCCAAATCGTACATAACATGTAGCGGTCTCATACACACGATACAATTATCTAACCGCACCTGACCATCTTCATTCTGTGAAGGCAACTCCTTAAAAAATTTGGCAACATTCGATCGTCGCTTAGATAAATTGGTCTCTTTCATCACACAGAAAAAGCAGCCCGGGTAAGGACAATCAGATGAATGCTTCTCCATCTTTGATAATTCTTCAGTATCAGCTCCGAACCAAGATTCGCATACTACCTTAAGCACGTATCATATACATAGTCTATACGTAAAATACATAACGTCACTCCGATGGAACTGCAAGCGACAAGAACAAGCTGTTAGCAACTGCCAGATACGAAGAGTGAGGAGGGAACATCAACCCATCTTTCAGAAAACTAGATCACACTCGTGACATTCTCGCGCAAGCTCATTCATTGAATACCGCGTACTATTCATGCGACCTTAAAAATTTAACCAATGAAGTTAACGACTTGAATTCATGCTGAACCAAGTTCCAATTCCCGTGTCGTTACTATGCTATTATAAGGGCCACAGAATGATATCTGACAATAAATCCTTTCACAACAAAACTAGTTTATAAACTGACAGACCATAAGGATGCCTTCCTTCCATCGAGCTAAAACTATCACTCATCTAACCCGGGTAGAGTAAGAATTTTTGTAAGACTATGAAAGCTTGCGGCAATCTCCAACAGACGTCGACCAATTAATCCGGTCGCAAATTTTGATAATCTGTCCAGATTCTGTTTTCTCAGAACATGTAGCTAGGCATGAGTGGGGAGCTAACGACGGCCAAATAGATTTAGACTAACAAATCTGACCTGAGCTAGCTGTACATTGGTACACGAGGGAGGCTACCTGATCCGAATGCATCAAGATAGATCGACCCAGTCAGGTGTGTTCCTTCTCTGCCAGTCTTCTGACCGCAGGTATCTCCACGTCCTTTTGAGATTGCTACAACAAGTGGTCTTGCAACTAACTAAGATAGGACATTATTTTCAGCTGCCGAGAATCAGCCAACGGCGTTCTCATTGTTCAAGGAATCTATTTTCAAACTTCACCATCAAACAGCTTCCCAGCACAAGTTGTACTACTGGCTCTACAATGCTACAGCTCTTCTGCGCAGCGGTAACCAGATCAAGGCAATCTCATAAGCAAGCATGCGCTCTTGCTTAAAACTAGGTCCCTCTAGCTCACGATTCCAGTATCCACTAAACCCACACTGTTTCCCCACCACACCCACACTTGATTACGAAGCCCTTTGAAAGATGAGAGAACAAGCACGAAAGCCTAGCAGCAGCAGCAGCAGCAGCAGCAGCAGCAGACGCTTTCACATGTACAAAATCTCCTCCGAGTTCAATTCAACTGCGACAAACAAGTCAATATCTGCGACCGTGACAATGTCGATTAATGAAGTGTAAAGTAGGAAAAGAAGAAAGGAACAGTGAAGAGGGGCCAAAAGAAGAAATGCTAAGTTAGGGGAGGGGAGGGGGGAGGGGGAGGGGATATGATGAGGTGGTTGAGAGAGAGCTTAGAAGCAAATGCAGAGGGACACGAGGAGGAGGTTGAACAAGCAGAAAGAGTGTGTCCAGGCTGCAAGTAAGTAATGGTGCTAAACAACAACTAGTCCAGGCAGGTAATGCTTTGTCCCCTTGCAATAACCACCGAATTGAACGATGAGAAACTAGGAAGAAGGCAGCAACGCCAGGAGAGAGGAAAGAAGAGAAGGCGAGCACGAAAGAAGAGTGATTGATGCAAGGCAGCAAGCAATCCGAAGCCAAGGAACCAACCCTAAGGGAAGGGAAGGGAAGGGAGAGAGAGAGGAGCGGGCCGTAGACCAGGATTGGGAAGGGAAAGGGAAAGGAAAGACAACTTGCGAGGGAGGCAAGGAAGGCAAGGGAGGGGAAGGGAGGGGAAGGGAGGGGGAGGTCGGGGCTAAGGCTTGCGCGATGGCGATGGCGATGTGGCGATGACGATGAAAATGGCAATTGGCAGCAGCAGTACCAATTAGGGTTTTGACCTGGAGAGAGAGGGTGGGGTGGCGATGCCCACTGTAGACGAGTAGTGGAAGTAGAAGTGCTGGTAGCAGTAGTAGTAATAAGTAGTCGTTGTCCTAGTAGCAGTCGTAGCAGTAGTAAAGCAGGAAAAAAAAAAAAAAAAAAAATGAAAAAAGGTAAAAGAGGAGGAGTAGGAAGGAGGGATCGTAATTAATTAATTAACGTGACCACTGGCTACAATAAAATATAAAATAGAAAGAGAGAGGAGAGAACAGAGAGAAAGGGTGGGGCAAGGCGGGGAACTCGCCCCGAACAGATCCGCATTCAACCCCCCTCCCTCCCCTATCCCCCTCCGAGCACTCTAAGTAAATCTATAATATTAATAATAAGCATAAGAATACAATAGTGTTGGGTTTAACACTTCTACCCCTCCCCCCCTTTCTAGTTGGATGAAGAATCATTCCTGAGCTCCTTCCTTGACATACATTCTTCCTTCCTTCCTTCCTGCGTTGACCGGTAACGAGCGGGTCGGGCCATGGAGGTCAGCCTGGTGACGATGGCGGTCCTGTGGTGCTGGTGCTGGTGCTGACACTGCCACAATACCTCCCTCACCTATACCCGCGACCAACCCTATACCCGTACCTCTCTCTCTCTATAGCCGACCCAGTCCCAGGGTGGTGGGGGTCCAACTAGGCCCACGAGTCTTACCCCCTCCCCAACTCTGATCTCTCCTTGCCGCGCCCTTTCTCACACGCACGCCGATGTTCCAGTTCCTGGTCTCCTTGGAATCGCGGTGTCACCCAAAGGAGGTTTGGCAGTGGAGGGTTCATCCATTACGGGATTCGTTCATTCATTTCCCCATTGCATTCATCTATTCATGCTTCTTTGTCATGGTGCTGGGCAAGTGTGGAGTGAGTGAGTACTGGGCCCAATGTTTTATGACTATATGTGTGTGTCCCCCTTTTATTTATCATTGCGCTTCATGGCCATACTTACTTAGCCCTACAATAGCAATTCCATTTGCTCTTTGGAATCATTTACTATGAGAACATTGCAACTTTATGTATATTTTATAATAAATTAAATTAATGCAAACACACAAACAAACAAACAAACAAACATGCAAAAACATCCATCAGCTTTTTAATGCAAAACTTTTAACACCAGTATGAATATTTCAACAAACATGTGATTGGCTTTCATTGATCTCACACAAAATATAAAATTCTAAAAGATTATGGTTATATATATATATATATGAAAAAAGCTATTATTTATCCTTTAACATGTGACGGGGACTCCAAATACATACATAAAAGTCGAGAGTATAAATATTTTAAAATATGAAAAAGATTAAAACAAAACTCTAGATGTGTTCTAAGTTTTATTTTCTGTATTATGTTGTGGATAAATTATAGGATATTTTGTGTTTTTACAATATGAAATAAAATAAATTTTATTTTAGGAAGAATAACTTACAAGTTCTACACATTAAATATCCAGTTATTAATAGTATAATTATTAATAACTTCAATGTCTGATGACACGAATTAAAATTTATTTTGCATTTAAATTTTAAATTCCAACACCAATTTAAAGTATTAAAAGTAAACCAGAAATTATTTTTAAAATATTAAAAATAGTTTATTTACATAAAATTTAATCAATGTTTATTTGAATTATTTATATTTAAAATTTATCGTTTTAAAAATAATGGTGTTAAAATTATTTGTTGATGCTGTTATGTTTAAAAAATTATAATGTTTATATAAAAACTAAAATTTGGATGTTTTTGATTTTTTTTTATAAATAAATATTTTATATACATAGATGTATAATATTTTTATTTATTATTTTTTTTCAAATTATAAAATAAGAAAAAAATAATAATTTTAGTAACACCAACTCACAAATATTTTGCATATCTTGTGAGATTAAAATTATGTTTATTAAATTTAAACTATGTTTAAAATTTTAAAAAATATTATTAAAGATTAATTTAATTACATAAGGATGTATTGTATAATTTATTTGTATATACATTGATATATACACTAGTAGAAAATCCGTATTGATGGATGCAAAAGAATTGTCATAATATTAAACTAAATGTCTTTTTTGTAAGTCATATAAGGCTATTTATTTTGTGATTATAATATGGATTTCTTTGCATTTGACTAATAAGAAGGGTACTTTATCTCTTTATCTTTTTTACCCCCCTAAGCTGATTATACTTCACTATGATAGTGTTATATATTTAAGGAGTCTATACTTGCAAGTAAATGATCCTTACTAAAGTACTTTGACAACATAGCATCAAAGGAGCAATAAACAAGGAAATAAAGTGCTATTATGGAGCCGCAAAAATTAACAAGGATGGCGTAAGATAGAAAGTTATTTAAGGGTTAGAAAAAATACAATAGTGTAATTGAGAAGTAATACAGTACTTAATAGGTCTTGAGTAGAAGTACCACAAATTAGATAGTGTTGGGCTAAAAGTTGTGAGATTTTAACCAAATAATAAATTGGGCCTTGTTTCTTTTTTAATCATTATATATATATATATGGAATTTGATCATGTAAGGTCTTATCTTATACTTGCCAGTAATCTCAAAAGTCTAAGTAATACTTGGCAACTATGTCGCGGTGTATCAAATGACAAAACCTTAAGAGAAACTAGCGGAGGATGAATATAAGATCTACAAGCAAAATGAGCAAGAAACTAAAGCAAGAGGAGATACAAAAAGAATTCTTCCTAGCCAATGTTAGGGACCATATAGAAGACAAGGATTCAAGATCAAAGAATGGAGTTAACTCAACATTAAAACAACAACTACATAGAAGGCAAGAAGGTCTTGGCTAGACCACAAGAAGTGAGTTGTCGAGACTGAGGATCCCCTCAATCTCAACTCTTATATATACTAGATCCTAGGAAGCTACTTAAGAAGTTTTTATGAGGCTTGAGAACAAAGTAAGCCTAAGATCCTTCTTCAGAAACTTCTTAAATTATCTAAAGCCTCATAGAACCTTCTAGGACCTTCTATGACCTTCTAGAACTTTCTTAGAATCTATTGAAACCTTCTGGAATCTTTTAGAACCTTCTTTACTTATATGTCCATGACAACCAAATTGAATTTGGCAAGAAGAATCCAAGAAAGATTGCTAGTGCCTCTGAAGAGGTCAAAGATTTAAAAAGTTGATTACAATAATATACCACAATAATGGAAGATTGCATGAAAATAACTTTAGAAGAAATATCATAATATTATAAGAAACTCATACAAGTCATCATGATTTCATGGCTTAAATCTTAAGTATTCTAAATATGGAAATCAAATAATGAAATAGAAGAAGACCACAACAAAATTCAATGAAAAATTCCATCCTTAGCTTCTATTTTAATTCTAATAATAGTGATCAATTTGAGACAATTCAACTTTAAATATCTTATTTATCATTATATGGGTGATTTTGATAAATATATCAAAATATATATAATTATAGTAGATATTAACTGAAATAGAATCAAACTAAACTATCTCAAAAATCTAAAGACTATTCTAATCCACAACAACATAAATTCCATCACAATATAAGATAAAATAGATTATAATAAAAAAAATAGAATAGAATTAATAGGAAAATGCAAAATCAAACTTTTACTAATACAAAAGATTTGAAGCCATACTTAATCAAGTGCTTAAATAGCCCCGACCAATCCTATTTATACTTTGTCCAACCATCTTAAAACTTTTTAGAATATTTTTAATGGTAGACTCCACTTAGATATTCGTCCAAAGTTCTTTTTAGAATGTTCTATAATAGAACATACCTAAATAACTGCCTTAAGCTCTATCTAAAATATTCCATGGTAGATCCTATATAGTCCACTAATCTAGCCATAGTTCTAAAAACTTCTATAAATTTCTCAAACATGGCTCCAATTATCTATTCTTATATATCAATAAATAAAAATATCTTATCTATATTCTATTATAATTAATTTCCGTCCACTAATGCGGAACGTACTTGTTTCTCTCTTGACGGTATCTCTAAATTATTTCTTGGCAATAAATGAAGTTTTGTGCAAGTTTCTACGTTATATCATGGATAGGATAACTTTTCCAAAAGACTTTGTACTAAAATTGTGGATGCCTATTAATATGGCGAAGGTAGCAATACTCCAAAATATTGTCCACTTCATATCCTTATTAGTCATCAACTACAACTAGTAATGGTGGTAATTAGTGCCAACTCAAAAAGTACCTTAGCTTGATGTGAAATTCCTTAAGTTACAAAACATAGAAGATTGAATGGATCCAATTATATGGCAGAAGCTCAAGGCATTATATAACATCATAAATTACTACAAAAATGCAAAAAGGTCCAAGCCACTAAAATTCCAATTTATGGATTTGGATTGATGTAGTAAGTAGCAAGCTGGTATTAGAGAATAACACCTAATTACCTTTTCAAAAAGTCTTATATTACTGGTGGTTATCCACATATTCCTTCTGTTGATTGTGTGGGATAAAGCAGTGTTGTTTTTTTTGTAAGGCTATTGTAAGCCATTGTATAAACTCCTTCATTGTCAGATTGTTGGTGTCAATAGGACAATAGAAAATTATTAGTATAATTGGATATTGACTAATATTAAAGAAGAACGATAAATACCAAATACTTACTTGAATACTATTATTGTAAGCAGATTCTAAGGACATAAAATATTCATCTCAATTATTATAATGAATTACCACAAATATCCATATTATATCGTCAAAGGTCCGATTTGCATGCTTTATTTGTCCATTTATTTGGAGATGGAAGGCCGTGGACATGAACTTAGTAGTTTGAACAAGATCTACCAAAAACTTCCCATGAAGTATAGATCTCAATTTAAAATGATGACATGAAGTAATCCATAGTAATAAAAGATAATATCAAAGAAGACTCATGTAAATTTTGAAACATCAATATTTGAGCGCATT